ATTGATGATTAAACCCGGGTATCATTTTTCTTTTAAAAATCATTACATTTTATTTTCTGCTTATATTGCTGCTTTAGGTAGTTCAGCTGCAGCTTTCTTTATTTCTTCCCAGCCTAGAGGAAACTTATTTTCTTAGCCTGTGAGCTTGGATATTCCTGAAAACAAATTTAGGAGAAATGATTATGCTGGTGTGTTTTGTTTTCCATTTTCTCCCCCACTTCTACCAAGTGATTTTTTTTAATTTTTTTTTTAATTGAGATTTACTTCAGTGTATGCCTATGCTGGGCTTTTTTGAGCTAGGTTTAATCCAGCTTGCTTGGGGATGAGAAACGGAATAGCAGCAGTCATTTGGAGCAAGATGTAGGCTGTCTGGGAAGGTAACTGTCAGATGTATCCAAGAATGTATTTTGGCAGTTACGCTTTTTAACTTCATCATGACAAAAGCTGCCCTGTATTTCAAGGTCTTAGATGTTTGCATTGAGCAAAACAGGGGGACCTGGGGAGGTAGTTCAAATTAATTAGTTATGTTAGAATTGTTTTCTCAGGGCTTAAAGTTGGTGCTTGAGAGATATTTATGTTAGAAATTCCTTCCCTGACAGGTACAAATAAACGTTTATTGTATGTGATGGTAAAGAGAGATGCCCCTGCAAGCTCTGGCATTTCATCTTGTAAACGGAGCAAAGGCGTGGGAGCCCAGTGTGCTGATTGTAATTCCTAGGTCTGAAAAAATGTTCATTTGTTAATACCCTGCAGTTACTGTCTTCTAGATGCAGGCTGTAGGGGAATCTCTATGGTGATATTTAGGTACGTTTGCTGTTTTACAGATGTAGAAACTGGGGGTATGTTCAAGTGACACGAGCTGGTGAAAAGCAGAGTGAAATGCTGGCTTTAATCTGTGCACTGTCATTTCAAGACTTGTCTTTTAATGCTGTTACTTACCAATACGCATTATGGGACTTTGGTCTGATTAAGCGCAGGTTTCTGAAAAGCTCTGGCAAGCTTTCCTGCTCTGGTTTTAGGATGTTGCTGTGCCGGTAAAGCAACAGATGAAAATGACAGTGTCCTGTGGCTTACGCAGACTGAACTTAATTCCCTAAGCTTTCAAAGGAAGTAGGCTTTGAGCTAAGGCACTCGTTTGCAGACTGAAGCAGCTATGTGCAGTTACAAGTACCCTGCTGCTGCTTCTGACAGCATCAGAAGGGGTAGAGAGGATCAATCTCCCACCTGAGCGGCACTGAAGTCTGCAACGACTCCAGTATTGAGTTTGGCAGGACTCAGTTGAAGATACTTATGGTGATGCCATTTACCAAGAGTGAATTGCCTAGCTCCAAATTTTTGCAGGGGTAAAGAAATGAACCAAAACAGGGAGATTTCTAACTTGATGTTGATTACGTAGCTGCTGCTGCTACCACGAGGCTTTCATAGACCAGTTCCTCCAAAAGCATCCAGGAGGTAATTCCATCCCGGGTCCTACAAGGGACAGCTGTTTCTTCTAGGTGACAGACCTCAGCTTTGTTTGATGGGTGGGTGGTTGGCTTTATTAGGACTTGGCCAAGAATTTCAGTTCATCTTGTCCAGGTGCAGATTTTACAGGGTATGTCTTCAAAGCAGAATTAGTTTGGGAAGTATGTCCCCACTGCAGAACCCTACTTGTGTCAGACTTCAGCTAATGATGTGATAGCTTAGGTGGCACATCAAACAGGCAAGGTGGTGTTCGTTTCATTTATATGACGTCTTTTCAACTGGACGATTGGTCTGTCCGGGCAAATAAGTGTCTGCACTAGCGTAACCACACTGCATGTCGTCTTCTGTCTTGTTTCAGCTCATGATAACAAGTGCATCACTACGTACCCGTGACTCCTGAGGTATTTTACTCACTGCTGCCTTTCAGACTTTTTGAAATAGGTTGCCACACCTTCAGGCAAAGAACAAACCCATTCAAATATATGTATAAAAAAGGAGAGGAAAAAAAGGAACACCAGGATTTTTCACTCCTTGCCTTACCCAAGGATCCACTTTATGTAGCATTACACACTAATGTTTTGTACAGCCTGCTTTGTTTTTGTTTGGGGATGTTCAAAGGGGACTTCAGTGTTGTAGTGAAATGTGGGAGATGTGGATGAACAGCTGACTGGAAGTTCAAAAGCGGTTGCATAGAATGAAAGCTGGTTTATTTTCCACGTGCCAAGAATCAGTTTTGTTTTATTTAGATGAAACCAGATTATGGCATTGAAAACCCAAGTGTATTAATATTCTTACATAAAGCAAGTTGGGAAGCGATGTTACAGTTGAACTAATTGTTAATTACACAAATAGTCTTGCTGCGTATTTTCTTAAGACTCCAGGAATGTTTCGTGATACAATAGATTTTGGGGAGTTTTTATTCTGGGGGGAAAATAGAGCAGTAAATGAGTTAGGAATGAAGATACGAAACATGGGGTTTTCTTCACTTGGGAGCATGCTTAAAATTGATTAAATATTTGCTTTCAAGGTTTTAATCTTCATCTTTGAGGCAGGGACATGCTACCTCTGTCTTTTTCCTTAGGGCTCGTTGTAAAACTATTCAAACCTTTGTGATGCCTTACATAGTGGGTAATGCTATGGAGGATCAGCATCCTTCTTTTGTTGAGGTCCTGCTTTTGTCCTGTTGTTCACTTGACATAGCCAGAAAGGAGGGTTAATGGTTGCTGAATAGTAGCTTGTGATGAATTTGAGCATTGGGCTTTTCAAACCCCAAGCCTTTCACTATCATTGCTCACAATAGCCTACTGCTTCTGTGCTGTTTAAAAACCAAACCAAAACAAAATCCTTGTTCTGCACATCTGGGGGAAAAAATGGAATCTCTGTTGGTTTTATTATTATTGGAAAAAAATAAGAAAATGGGATTCTTTTGTAAGGAAGATGAGATTTTCCCATTTAGGTGTTTCAAATTTTACTCTGTTCACACAGTGATTTATAAAAGGTCTGGGATTAAAAAAAAAAAAACTTGGTGACTTTTGTAATATTTTCAAACTTTCTCTACTCTTCAAAGGTAAACGTATAAAACAACTGGAATACAGTTAAAAAAAAGGGATGGGGAAGCTAGCCTCTCCTTGCATCCCAGAGCACAGTACTTGTGTTTGCATTAATACAGATCATTCCCATGTGAACATCTTTAGGTCTGTCTAGGGACCTACCTTATCTATAACTCTTTAATTCCAGGTAATTGATTACCCTGTCTGAGACAATTTCAGGCTTTACTGGGTATAGCATTTGAAGTGAATTGCTGCAAGAGTGGAAAGTGGTTAGGGGGCACTACCCTGGGGAAAAGAGGGGTTGTTGGGATGGAGAGTTAGTCTTAAGAGTAGGCATTGACGAGAGCAGCTGTGAAGACAAAAAAAACACCCCAAAACAAAGCACAGTGCAAACATCTTGAGGAACAGCTGTAGAGTTTCTCTTTTTTTGAACTGGGCGCTGGGAGATTCCTTTCGGGAAGGAAAGTGTTAAGACTTGTTACCCTGTTTTTGTGAGAGTAATCTTTCAAAATGAACTGCAGGAGAAGCCGCATTTAGCATTTCTGATTTAATTACCTATTAAAAACATGTATCTTGTTTGGCAGACTTTTTGCACTCAAATAACTCCTGTTGGTGTGATGTTGTGTGTGGTGTGGTGGCATGTTAGATTTACAGTGATGAACCTGCATTCTCTATTCCTCATTTCTCCTGCTATTAAATTCTGTATGCTGCTCTCTGCCAAAGACTGCACAGCCGTCAGCTTAAATATGTCATTGTTCAACGTGTCGCCTATTCCTAGATGCACAACAAAGAAGAGGTATCAACAAATGCCTGCAGCGATCGTACATTTACTGTGGGTTTTGCATCTAGTAGGCAAACCTGCATCTGCAGAGGATGCTGTAACGGTGACCCCCATGGACTCTACAGTATCAGGAGGTGCTGGTTACTTAAACTAGAGTGAGTCAGTTGAGGTCTGTTCTTTTGAACAGGGGAGTGGAAAAAGCATACCTGAGGTGTCAATATTAAACTTTGTTTCAAAGACAAAAGTAAATTATTGTTTTCAGTGCCCCTGATTCCACTTTGGTACGACAATTTTTTGCTTGCCTGCTAGACACAGAGCCGTGTTGTTCCTCCGGAGTATTTTGCTACTAGGGCTTAAACCACTGAAATCCTTCCGCAGTACATTGAACAGGTTTTAGTATTTTCCTTCAGTAAGAATGTAGGAATAGCTTCAAGCTGTTCTTTAAAACTGCTGCCACAGGATGGGGCTGTTGCACTGCCCAAATATGATCTGTCACTTAAAACAACTGCAACCAAGCACTATTTTCAGTGCTAACCTAAAACTACACTCCTGTCACTTTTCTTTATTATTTACCAGTCCGTGTAGTGTGCCCTCAGTTTATCCACTTTCAAGAGGTAGGAGATTTGAAGTAAGGTGGTGTTGGCTTGCTGAGTGTAGATCAACTTGTTTCTTTTAGAGGCAGCTTTGCACCATATGACAAAACCCAGGTAGTGAGGTAATAATCCACATAAAGGGGATTTGGTTCACGTATCGCAGAATATGTTAAATATTAAATCGGGGGGGCGCCTTTATTAAATCCATATTTGTGTTTTAGAAATGTGCCAAGAAGTGTTCTAATGAAGCAGCACCTGGGGGTTAATAAATGATATCATGAATCCAGTCTGATTGCCAAGAAAGATTTTAATAAAGTAAGCCATGCCCAGGGTTGACTGTTTCATCCATGAGGAATAATTGTTTTGTTTCCATATTTCTTTTATTGGTTGGTTAAAACAAGTTTGCTTATTAGCATCAAGTAATTTTTGATTGTCCTGCATATTTCTGTGTACCGTTTGCATAGAGAGCTAGCCCCTTGTAGGTCTGCTGATGCAAATTGTAAGAGTGTGAGAGGTGTTATTTTGATTGCATGAAGAGCTTGTACCTTTTAGTGCCTTTCACATTCGTCTCATCTTCCTCTGTTTCCTCTTCTCCTCCCCTCAAACATTCAGGGTGAAGTGAAGTCTGAAGAGGGACCAGAATGGAATATACTGCGCGATGACTTCATGATGGGAGCATCTATGAAAGACTGGGACAAGGAAAGCGATGGAGAGGGCAATACTGAACAAAGAGGTGGTCTGAAACAAGAAGATGACAGTGACTGAATGAAATTGAAAACCATTCAAGATAATATTTTATCTTCTTAACTTTGTTTGGATAAAAAGTCAGCATTCTGTGAATGTACAAAACTTGGAGGATATCTCTTTTTTTTTTTAAAAAAAAAAAAAAAAGACTTGCACAACTTTGGAGTGTTTTCTCCTCCATGTCAAACTTTTATTTAATATAGCTTCATTTGCTATACTGAAATCCTGAAATATTTTCCAAAACATGTATAATTTTCAACATATTTCCAAAACATTTTGTACAGTCAAAATAGTGGCACCTGCCCAATGAAAGAAAGATTTTGCCAAGGTCATTAAAAGTTTATACATTAGTCATGGCAATTGATGTATTAGTGTGCCTGCATTTCCAAATCAGTGTTGCACTTTGAAAAGTTGTTAGTAATTCGCAATAGAAATGGCTTACAATAAACACAGAAATGCCGTCACCTTGTAAAGTTATCGGACTCCTATAGAGTCTTTACTACTTTGGCCAGAAAAGGTTTTGTAGATAATAAAGAAAAGTAACTATTAATGTGATAGTTCTGGTCTTGGAGAATTAGTTTGATTGGAGACAACTCTGGAAACATAATTGTAAAAACAGAGACTTGACCCTACTGATCAGCTTTTATATTGTTTATATATATATATATATGTATGTATGGTTTTTTCCATTGCAAGTCTGAGTTTGTATAAGCTAAGAGGCTGGTAAGAGAGGAAAGGACAGTTGTTGTAATTGGTTTTGTTGGAGAACAGAGAGCTTTTCCAGCAACACCGCATAAAATTGTATTCAGTTTGGTTCATCTGCAGTTCTGTTGTTCTGGCCTTTTTCAGTAAGGAGCCGAACCGCCGAGATACATCCTGTGGGTTTAGTCAGCTATAATTCCTCAGGTCTGTAAAGGGTCAAACAAAAGCCCTTCCTCTTAGGTGTGTGCTGTAACAGTACCAAGCTACTGGCTTTATTTAACCTACGGCAGTTTCTCCTAACTAGTTGTTTGGTTGTGAAGGTGCAGAAGCTAACACACATAATAAAAAATACATTCTGTATAAGCCTATGCATACAGAAGGAAGTGTGTCGGGATTAAGGTGTTCTAAACGAGAAGCTGGGGTTGAATTCTGCTGCCTTCACTGTTCCAGACTGGCTGGCTGATGCTGTGTCGTTTGTTTAACTTTGCTATTGCATTTCCCCATTTGCTATGTGAAGAAAATGCCTTGGGGCCTATTAATTGATTCTTAAAATACAGAGTACTGTTCTGTCTGTTTCTACAGATGTCTTGCGTACAAACCTTTCTTTGTACCTGCTTATATGCAAGATATGATTAGGAGCGACTTTCAGATTTTCAGTCTTCAGCATTGAAATGTGTAGTAGGACGGTGGATTTAGATTTTCCTAACGAAGGCCTTGAGGAGGGGAAGGGGTTTGAACTTTGTGGATACTGCAGGATAAAAACTATACATACAAAATGGCAGAGAAACCCATCCTAACAACTGGCAATGGTTGTGTTATCCCTAGCCTATTCATCTGGTATATATTGTAGCATAATTCTTTGAGGAGAACTCAAAGCTAACAGCAGAAATGTTTAGATTTTCAAGCTGTTTTGAGCGTTAAACATATTAGATATCTGAAGAGACATTAGTTTGTGGCCTGATATTTATTATCACAAATGAAGGCATACACCCAAAATATCAAGTGGTGAAACCACAGAAGTTTGACATGTGGTTATCCCAGCTTCTGAAGGCTAGACATCTGCATAGCTGTTCAGCAAGAGCTGGCATCTCATTAGTGCAATACAAAAATATACTACAATGAATTTTGAGTCTATGAAGCAGCATAGTAGTCTAAGCTGACATTGCTTTCTTTCGACAGAGTTCAGTTACTTTGTGTGGAAAAATTGCATCAGCAGCCTTAAATGTACAGTCGTTCTCTAGTTTGATATCACCAGTCTCAGAAAATAGTCTTTTGGAAAATAATAAGTAAGTCTTTTGGAATATTAGTATTGGAATAATAAATAAGTCTTTTGGAAAATAATCTAGTTTTTCTTAGGAACTATGACATCCTCCGGTGATTATTAAAAATTTCAAAATACTTTCAGAGTACTTCTGGAATACTTGGGTGTTTGAGTTTTATTTGTGCATTTTTGAAGTAGTGTTTTGATTAAAGCACTGAAGTGTCACTTGTGTATTTAAGAAAAACATGGAATATATCAATATTGCTAAAAATATCTTGAGCTTCCATTTCATTTAGGCAAAAAGTACTGCTGTGCGCTCTATGACAGGTGGGAGCGATATGTTTTAATTTTGGGCATTTGGATGTCAATTTATTTCACAAGGTTTGTTTTAATTGACTAGCAATTCAGACGAAGTGTTAAACCCTGTCTGGCCCAGACACCTTCCAATCTCCCCTTTCAGCTGTGGGATCAGTTGCCCTACCTGCCTCTCTACCCGCTTTTTCAGTGACATTTTTCGTTTTCGATAGCTACCAAGAACAACCTTCGGTGGCTTTTCCCAGCCATCAGAGTACTCGGTCTGTTTTTCCTGCTCCCATGAATATCTCTGCTTAAGCAAAGCTGTGCCGCTGCCCTTCATTCCAGAGAGCATGAATCATCTCAACTTTGTATATTTCTGTACCTATCTATATAAAGCCAATAAGGATGGGGTGGTTCCAGTTTTGTTAGGCCTCAAGCCAACTCCAGAGTATGTAGAGTTTAATATTCTATGGATTGCAAAGCAACAAAGTTTTGTTTAATAAGAGAAGGCACGGGGTCAGCTTTTCCCCATGTCTTTTATCCTCTGGTCTAATTTTTCTTCACATTAATTGTGCTAACTTTTTTCAGCAAGGAAAGCATGAGTTGGCCTATGGAAACAGAAAGACCATCTTCTCCCTGCTTTTCTTCAGCCTGCTGTTAGGGAGACGCTTTGGGAGTGGTGGTGGAATATCCTTGTTGTGCCTGATGCTACTGCACCTCAGCATGTTTCTTCCCTGCTAAAACACAGAGGGAAGAGCTCCCACTTCTGCAGCTGCGAGGCAGGTTCTCCTGGGTTCACAAGTTGAGCAGAACAAAAGAGCTGGAAGCTGCTGCCTGGGGCCGCTGCCTAGTGGAGATAGGGCTTTTTTGTGTGTGTGTTTTGTTTTAATGAGAGAAATGAATTGTTTGGAGGCCATAAAAGTGTTTTGACTATCTGATGCTTCCAGAAGAAGGTGGTCTGTAAAGCCGCATCTGTTCAGAGCTGGCTCAGTAGCTGTCTCTAGGGAGGAAGGCAGAAGTCATCTGGCACACAACACACTGCACAACTTAAAATGACAAACTCCTCATTCTTATGAAATGAGTCCTGGCATAGTTAATATCCACACAGAGCAGTCATCAATGTTGTTTGCTTCCAGCTCCTGCAAATTGCTCAATGATTTCTTCAAGACTTGCTGAGGTAAGGACTAAGAGGGCCAGGAGAAGGCTTGAAGTAGTGAAGACTCTTAGGATCTTGTTAAATAGATAGGATCCTAGTGCTAAATAAGACATTAAACTTAGACTCTAGGACCTCGGTGGCAGACACTGGAGACTGGAGAAGTTCTTGGTTAACAGATGGTGGAAGACTGTGGATTTAATTTACTCTTATTCTAAACAGTGGCTTTTAACCTCTTGTCAGTATGTAAACCTCAAAGGTCTACCTCTGCAGATGATCTAGCAGATAAGGGCTTTTCCTTAATCATTCTTTTTCAGACTGATAGGGATGGCTGATATTTCTTAGACAAAGCATTTTGTTTTCAAATGCATCTTTTTAATTGCTTTTCTGTCTTAGGGGACATGTTGAAATAAAACTCCAGTCAAATTGGATGGCTTCAACACCAAAGATGCTTGTGTTTGTGTAATGCTTCATCCTTTGAAATTATTTCCTTTCGTTTAAATCCATGTGTTTCATCTGTTAGATATCAAATTGCAAAATGAATTAGGCCACTTTTTGTAAGGCCTTCAGATACGACCTCATGAGCTCAAATGGCTTCCAAGAGGCACTTTGGAAGGTGATTTTAGGAATCCTCATAAAAAGCATTATTTCTTCACAGTGCCTTGGTTGTTTCAATAGCTTAGTCTCTCGTGCCAGTTTGAGCATTATTTTGCAACATCTTAGTGTTTCTTAATTCTGTTTTCACTATATGTGGTGTTAATTGTGAACTGCTAACCAGGATCAGACTTCAACCGAGGTTTGATACCACTAGGATTTCTTAGAGACGTAAGTGTTCTCAGAAGCAGCTAAATAATTAATGGAAATAGTTCACTTAAAAGATACACTGGTTACACTTATCAGAAACTTAATGCATAGTTTAGAAATAGTTAAATATGCAGCCTGCTGATGTTATGTACTGATCAGGTCTGTAAGTCATGTCTATTATAGGCATGTATGACCACAAGTAGAAGGTAACAGAGGGTTGTTTGCCATAGTTTTAAAACCTGTTTGAATATTGAAGTACTTAAAGATTCCACTAGCCATTTGTGAGCCCTTTATAAACTTCATTATGAATGTAATCTTGGAGATTATGACTGAGGCCCCTTGGCTATTCAATCTTTTTGTTGCTTTTTAACTTTGTTTTTCTATCCCAGTGAAGAGGGACATTCCCATTCTTGTTCAGAACGGAAAGACATACAAGTGTTGCTTCATCCAAGCAAAATGGTAGTGAAAAGCTTTCTTGATTATGCAGATGTTTGGTTTTGATTATTTACTGCATTGACTTTCAGGTTGTGTACAGTTTACCTAAAGAGGATTTTCATTGTTTTTCAAGCGATCCATGAATCGCAAAGTTTGCGGGCAGTGATGTATTGGAAGAGTAGGAAGTTGCAGGTAGAAATACAGGTATCGACAGTTCTGGGCTTCATTCCCAGCTCTGCCACTGGCAGAGATTTCTAAGAGTACACTTTCGAAGGAGCCTTCTGCTTAGGGTACCCTGCGTTCCGGGACAAATACTGGCGTGGGTCCGTTCCAGGAAGGGTGCCTGAAGTCAGGCAGCTGTATGAAAACTGTTGCTAGAGGCCTGAGCGCGCCGCTCTTGGTGATTGAGACTGTGACATACCTGCCCATAACACCCCTGCTGTCACCACCTTGCTGTGCTCCTTAGAGATGAAGGGCCATCGAAACCATACTGTTAGCCTTTCCACCCTTGCGTAGGTCTGCTTCCCAATGTTATAATCCCAATGAGTTTCAAAAGAGCTCAAGGTTCATAAGTAAAGGATGTCACATGGCTACGTGTTGGTAACGATAGTGTGGTTTTGTATGCTGCTGTTTTTCAGGTGAGTGAAATACTTGACAGTACCTGCTGAAATCTTTTCAAGTGCTTATTAAAAAAATGGGTTTTTTGGTTAAGAAAAGACTTCATAAAATTCTCAGGTGAGTATCACTTCATGTGAACAAGAAAAGACTATGAAGGTGTTTCAGAATCTTCAGGCAAGATCCTCAATTTAAGGGCTTATTACTCTGCCGAAACAATGTATTAGACCGAAGTATAAATATACTTCCAGTTAGAACATTGATCAAACA